ATTTGGGAGGTTTTAGAGATTACACAAATGAAATTTGAGATTATTGAGATGGATAAAAGTATTTTTAATCTTAACATGAAAATCACTTTGCACACAAACTATTCAAAAGTAGTGTTGAAATACTCGATATATTCACGGACAAATCTTTTTTAGTTTATTAAAAATACTTAACTAAAAATGTTTTTTTTGTAGGTGAAAGACTTGCAATGTTTATTGAAAGACTATATTAATAGTTAGTAGTAGCAAATCTATATAGATGTTAAATGAGTACAAAGAGGTCACTAAGTTGTTCAAATTGACTGAGCCTGTATTGAGAGTTAAACTATAAAAATTAGAAGCTTCTCAGCTTAGTATAACAAAACTTTCATGAAAGAACATGTATAAAATTTAACGAGCTTGGTGTATGCATAACCTAATATTGCTGTTTACATTGTTGTTTGGGAAACAGCCAATGGGCTGCCACTATGATTTATTACTATTCACACACAGTAGTGTATCCAAAGTACACAAATAAAACCATAAAATTAAAAAAAACAGATATGAAAAAGTTAGAAGCTGCAGATGTTAAGATAAGTAATTTGGAATTGCCTGCTATATTCTGCTAAATAACAGATGAAGAAATGGTAATACTAACTTTATTTCATATTTTTCCACTTTTCATTTCACTATACATTGATTATTTTGCTACAGTTAGTATTAGGGTAGAAAATATAAGACATAGAATATAGTTTTTCAAAATAAAAACTTTTAAAATTCATTTTGGAGATTCTAGAGTATAGTCAAATGAAATATGAAAAGAAGCATCTATATTCTTAGCATGAAAATCATCTCTATCTCAGACTGACTCAGTAAACGCTTTGTACATTCACAGACACATATTTAGCAATAATACTTTATTGAAAAATCTGTTTTTTTTATGTGTACAACAAACTTGTAATGTTTAGTAAAAGCCTGCCAGATATCATGAAGATGCACTTAGTGCATTCAGAGTTTAAGTATGTGTAGAGATACAGTTACAAAGTGATTACAGTGTCAGTCAAAATGACTAAACCCATATAGAGAGAGTTTAACAGGAATCTTACAATCAGTTTTACTTTCATAACAAATCATAGCACATATTATCCTGGTAATAGACATAGAAATTTTCACAAGTGAAAATACACACATACTGTTATTTTATTTGCTCACATCAGCTTTTCTTAAAGTTTCCTTAATCTGATATAAAATAAAAATGACAAAGTTTCTCAAAATACCAAAACAATCATCTTACTTGAGAAATCTTTCAGGATTGTTGTTTGAGTCAATGTATATTTTAGCCAAGGCATTGTGAGTCGCAGGTTCAATAATTCCTTCATGTACTCTCATTTCTAACCATGATAACAGCAGCTTGAGACGGTTCCGTTTCTCAACTTCTTCCACCAATTCATCAGTGGAAAACTGGCCTTTGACATTCATGATGAGTGACTTTATGATATCTTCTGAGCAATCCACATCTAAAAGTCCACCAATCACTACAGGGAGTCGAGAAGGATTGACCTTTGAGAAATAAACAGCCACCATATTATATGTAGCCAGCTCATACGAATAAGCAACTTAAATTACCCCCATGTGCATGGGTTAGTCAAATGGACTGATGTTTGTATTGAAGAATTAATGCTTACTATGATTCTGAACTTACTATGTGTATCTTCATGAAATTTGGAAAGCTTTTAATAAATATAAAGACTGTTGTACATAAAATGTCAGATTCTTTAATACGGTATTTTTACTGAAGTTTTTTCTGGGAATTTATGAAGACTTTACTGAGCCAGTTTAAGTGAAAGTGATCTTGATGCAAAGAATAAAAATAATAATTTTCATCTTTCATATTTCATTTACATAACCTCTAGAACCTCCTAAACAAATACCTTAAGTTTGTTTTTGTGAAACTTTTCTTATTCTCTTCACACTAACTGTAGTGAATTCAGCAATGTAGAGAAAAGGGAAAAGTGAAAAAAATATGAAATAAATCTAAGTTACCATTTTCTTTTTCTTTCTAGATTGACTCGCATTGTAACAGGTAATTACACACTATTTATTCTTACAGTAAAAACTAACAGACTTTTCACATCTAGGTTCATTTACTTTTATTGCTTTACAGTTGCACCTGGACAGTCTTGGAGTATGCCAAAAGCCATTTATCATAGTCAGACATCTTTGTTTTCACAAACAATTACGTTATAAGCACATCACAGTCTAATGACAATCACGCCTCACAATACGCATATGTTACAATAACTATTATGAAAAATTACTTACTTTAATTTTCTTCTCCCATTCAAGTTTTCTTTCCTAACCTAATAAGTTTCTAATTTTTACATTTTAGTTATTTTATTATAATAAAAAATAAATAAACTTAAAATAAGAAATTTAGTACTTATATTTGGACTTTGCTTTTTTACCATCAATAAAAGAAGCACTATAGGTCTACTTTTTTGTAACAATGTTGGTGGTCCAAAATATTAGTAATTTTTATTTTAAATATGCAGTTTACAACACTAAGTGTTATCACGTGCAAAAAAATAATGTCCTAAAACTACTAAAATTTAACTGGCTTTCTAACTAACCTTTATATAGGTTAAAAAAATCAGTTAACTGATAGTCAAACACCACAAAGGTAAACAATGAAACTGAAGCTAAATATTTCCAAACCTAGCACCTGAACAAACTAACCTCATAAGGAATCTCATAAAGCAGGGTCTTTTCATTCTACTTGTTATAAATAATATGTCAGAAAGAATTACTAAAATATTTTGAAATACAGGATAAGATAAGAGGGTCATGACATATGGGTTTGACTTTCTTGTTTATATCTCAGTAAAGCAAAAAGCTTAGACTATAAATTTACTTTATGGCTTAGCATTATTTATAGTATAAGTATATAACTAACGGCAAATTAAAAAGATCATAGTAGGATAAAAAATATTTAAAATGAGCAATTCAGAGTGAAGAAGTGTCACGTGATACATAGAAGTGTAGACTGAGAATCTATTTAAATATATAGTATTAGCACTTGAATTATAAACTACATTTGATGCCAAGTTTATTGATATAAATTTATAATAAAGCTTTAAATTAAATTGTGAATGTAACTCTGTATAAAGGTCACAACATGTGCACTCTGACCCACTCATGTTCAGAGTTAGCAACATATACAAATTATCAAACTACCTTTTTTCCTAAGCTATTTATTAGCAAATTCTGTTAATGGATGAGATCACAATATCTACTGGATGAGTTATTTTTGACATGCACACAATTATGCACCTTCGAGGAAAAAAACCCTTTGTGTCCATCATAAAGCTGGGTCTGAAATTTCTTATTTACTTAAGCAAGTCTACATGCTGTCATGTGTCTGTATGCACAATTAGCATTATGAGCCAACAAGTTAACTGGGTTAAAATTAAATACTTAAAATAGTCAAATAATTGGACAAATTATAAAATTACCTTTACAACGTATATCTCAATGTACTTCTGGAGGTTGTTGCGATACAGATGCAACACCAGGTCATGAACAAAGTCAAAGCGATCACAAACAATGATCAATGGCAGTTGGTCTGTCAGTTTGGCTTCTTTGAGAAAGTTCTTTACTCGCTCAGGATTGTAGCAATTACTTTCCCTACAAATTCTTTCCACTTCTTTGATCTGTCCAGTCTTACAAGCAGCCTGGAAATATTCAAAATGAACAATGTACAAACCATGTGCAGGATAATAATAATAATAAAAAAGAATGTTATTTTCAAAGTTTTAGCCTAATAACTATTATACTAAAATAAATATTCATCACCAAGTATAGAAAAACTGAAATTTTAACTAATTTGATGCCCTTGGTTATGTATAAAATTAAACACACAAACTTTGTATTGACAATAACACATTTATTTTGGTCTTTTATGTTTTATAAAGAATGGTTTTCTTCTGACCAACCATTTAATTCCCTTACACAATATTGTACACGTAGTAGAACTAATTTTCCCAAGTTTGAAGTCTTTAAAACAAAACTGTTTTGTACAGAAACAGTAAAGATTATTACCTCATTAAAATTAGTTTTAAACTTATATATGTAAACTCTTAGGATTCCAACGAAACTTTTTGTTTCACACAAAATCACCCTTTAAGAATCAAATGAGTGAAGCATTTGCTCACCTGGATGTACTTGAAGTGCACTTCAGGATCTTGACTGAAGTTTACAATAGATCCAAGAAAGTAGAATAAGCCTACATTACAGTATTAAAAAAAAAAATTCAGAAAAACACAATAAATTTTTAGAAAGTTTACCTTTTCATGGAAAAATTATAATAAATGTTAGAGAAGGAACAAATATGACAAACATTTACTATTAAGAACATGTAATTTCTAGGTTATAATAAATAAATATACAAAACAATTTAATAATAAAAAAGCTTTATACTATATTTTTTTCATTATTCAACTTAATTTTTTTAACATTATTCAATCACCTGAAATTATTGTAATGTTTATTCTTATCACACCAAAACATTTTATATTTTGCTTGTTTTGTAATAACTAAGTTAGCTCTTATTAATATTTTAATACGGTAGTAAAAAATCAACAGAAATAATTAATATATATATAGTAACGCCTGCATTTCATTCACTCCTCTTGAGTGTCATTCCAAAATATAGAAATGTGAGTACATATTGACCTTCATAGCTCTTGAAAGATTCAAAGAGATCAATGAGGACAGAAGTGGTCAGTTGCTCATTGTACTTGGTTGCTACTTGAACAGAAAGTTGCAAGTTCTGTCGGATGTTCTGACTGAGCATGGCTTTCAGACATTCAATTGAATCTTCCACAGATAAAGAACCAAAGTAATTCACCAGCCACTACAGGATAAACCCATAAAGTTAAAAACAAGAATAATTATCAATATTAATGCACATCTTTTACAATGGCTGTTAAGAATGCTAATACACACTATTTCAAAAATCTGCAAATGAGAAATTCAAAAAAAGGTTACTAACAAAACTGATTATTTCATCTCATACTGTTATTTTATTCTCATTCATATTAGTTATATTAAGGGAAAAGTTGGATTCATCATCTAAAAACACTGAAGCTAACTAGAATTTATCACATAAAGATATCCAAATAGAAAACATACTATCTTACCTCAGCATTTAACAGATGTGTGTGAACTATGGCTCTTTTGATGTCATACAGATCAGTGTAGTGTTCCAGTGCCTAAGGACAAGATAACAGAAACTGTTTATTTTATTATAAGTCAAATGTTCAACTTTTCTCAAGACATGAAAATTCAACAAGAATTTTTATATCACCGGTTTTTAATCAGAGCTGGCATACAGCTTTGGAACGTCCCTGAAAACAAAGTGATTTTTCATTTTGGGTTTACTTACTAATTCTAAGCAGTTTTTTTATTATAAGGTTGGGCATTTACAGTAAGAAAAAACATCTTTATCACTAGCATGATAATTCTCATGTACACAATTTTTTATGGTAAAGAAGGTATTGTATTCAAATGAGCACTCAACAATCTAACAATGTATTTAAATTAGAGACTCAACAGTGGCTACTTATGCATGTGCATATCAATTTGTCTGTAGTCATTTACAAAATACAGCGTAACAACTGCCCAGTCTTCTATATAGGTAAAAAGAGGGCATAACATGAGCATCAGGTTAAAGGAACACCAAAAAATCCCCTTCATAAGTCCACGAGCATACGAACAAAAATAATAACTTTTTCTGAACAGAATGTCACCATACTAAAACACCAACCTGACATTAACAGTACTTTGTAAATTACTACAGAAGAATTGATATGCACATGCATAAGTAACCATTATCAATTCTCTAACTTAAATACATTGTTAGACTGTTGAATGTTGATTTAAATACAAAAACCTTCTTTACTGTTAAAACCTGTGTTCTTGAGAATTATCATGCCAGTGATCAAAACATCTTACCTGTTATAAAAATAACTTGAAAGGAAAAAAAGTTATTTTTATATATAATATATTGTATTAAAACATTAAAGTTAAAAAACTATCAAAAACACACATCATTTTAGACCTTTAGACAAGGGAATAATTAGGTTGCAGTCCACAAGGACTTTGCTCTTGTCAAAACAAGAACAGAAGTTTGAGAACTTATACTTTGTAATAAAAAACTATCTTTTACTTTTACACTAGTTAAGTAAGTACAGACAAAAATACAGTTCAATTTTTCACTCCTGTGAGGAACAGAACAATCATTTCTTGAAACACTGGAATATAGCTGATTTTTTTTTCTGTATTACGTAAGTTTAAAAATAACTTTCCATTATTCATTCTCATAGTAAGAAAAGTTTTTTTAAACTAGGCTTTTTATGATTCACATGTTCTATCTTATACAGTATTATGACTTTTAAAATAGTTCTACATGATTGGAATTTGATTTACAGAGATAATTTACAGAACTACTATATGTTTTGGAAGAAGTTAGATTAGTTAAGTTTCTCTTTAGTGGAAACACACAATTTCAAAATAAAAACAGTATACCCTCTGTAAGAGTCCAGCCTTCTCACATAACTGAGCAATGTGGGCACGATCATAATGTGTAAACATCTGATTCCCAAGAATAGCATCAGCAACCTAAAAAAGAAATTATTTCATTTACATGCTGGAAAGAGATAAAACTGCAAATTTTGCACTAAAGACATTTACATGTACGAAAACAAGGAAAATATAGTTGCAGTTAATATGAATGTAAAAGCTACTCCAAAGAAGTTAACATGTTAAAATGAGACATCTATAAAGAAAACATTAAAGAACAGCAGTATCATACTGAGCACCTACTTTTAACAACCAGGTATGAAAACATAAAATAGAAGGTAGGTTTGACAATACTTTTAGAGGAATGTGGATATTAATGGTGATTCTTTCTATAAACATTATCCATAATTAGATTTCTAGGTGAAACCTTCACAGGCAATACCTACATCTGGTTTTATAACATGAATTTGTAAAATATAACTGACAGTCAAATTTGATTACATCATGATGACAAGAAACCAATAAGGGAGTTTTAAACATTATAATCAATGTCCAAGTATAAGTTCTATATCAGCAATATGCTGAGTGTGATATTTGTAGTATTAAGCTTTTAGTAAAACAAATTAACTATTAAATCAATTATTCTGACACTGTTTAACAGCACAGTTACACTTATTTTTAATGATAACTTACCAATGAAAAACTTTCTTTTTTAAACTAAAAATAAAGGCTTACTCTGATTCATAGAAAGTTTCATTTGATGATTATAAACATAAAAAAATAATTTAGTAGATTTTATGCAGGAAAAATGTTGCAGTTGACACGTTTCCTTCTCCATTTTACACATTCATGGATAAAACTCCATTAATTAGTTATGGCACGAGTCTTATTCATAAAATATTATGAAAAACAAAGTTAGGTGAGTCAGTCAATTAACAAAACAAATGCATGTGGATGAAATACTGGTTTCCCCTTGTCGTAGTTAAGTAGATAAAAGTCATTGGACTAAAATGTAAATTATTTTAAAATTTTTTATAAAATACAGAAAAAAATTAATATGCTAATAGAAAAAGCTTCTGAAGAAATGAAAAGGTGCACTAAAAACTTGATACCTGTGGAGCAGTCATCAAGTTCATCTCTAATAGCCTTGTTTGAAGTGGGCCTTCGGAGGGTCTGTTGTTCTTCAAAGCATCTAATAAGAAGGAAGTACATTTCTGTACCAAGTTGGACTCCATGAATACATCCACAATCTACAATAAAATATTTTTTAAGATGAAAATGATGAACAGAGCAAAAAGATAACCTTACACAATTTCAACAGATCTTCAAACACGTCAAGCATTTCTGCTAGTAAACATTACATATTCATTTAATGTAAAACCTAAACCAAGTAGAAAATAAATTATAGTGTTGTAATTAAATGATTACATAAGTATTTTCATATCCTCTGAAGTAGAACTTGTAAAACAAGCCTCTAAAAAGTCCATTAATAACAGAGTAAATCCAAGACAGTTATTTCTAGTTAGTCAGTTGACATCAGAGAGATCAAATGTTAAAGTATGTTATTAAATACTTTTACTTACTAAGGTGATGCCAGGTAAATATCATATTAAACCTCAAAACAAGTCTTCTCACCTGGTTGATGTCGGCCAATGGTTCATCATCCTGTACTAACATTTGTGCAAATGAAGTACCTTGATCAGGATTAACTCGCATGACCTGCCTCAGGAGAAAGATGTAATCTGGAGTGTAACCAACTTTCTTGGCATAGAGGACTATCTTTTGGAACTGACCAGTTTCTGCAAAGCACTGTATGACCTAAAAAAAAAAAAGAAACTATGAACACATTTACTTATTTCATAATTTATTTTAAAATGTTAATATTTTTTTAAATCAACTGATATGTAGTTTTGACAAAAAAAAAAAGAATATCATACCAACTTCCTCAAAAAGAGAGAGAAAAGAAGAAAACAAACATTCTAATTATGCTCTTTACTGACCAATTCAAGTGCTTTTACACATTTTTGTTTTACAAATTAGATCTCCCAGTGGGCTACTCCAAAAATAAAGATTTTTTTAAGGTCCCTTTTCCTAAAAATACAGAGCAAATTGTGTTTAATAAATCACAATATAGAGTTACACACACACACAGCTGACTAATAATACTAAATGCAAATTTTTATAAGCATTTGGAAAATATCCATGAAAAAATCCATCACTTTTTTGTTTGGTCAGAGAGAATACCATGAAAGTTTTGATCATGTTAAAAAACACGTAGGTTCAAGAAATCAGTTTAACACAAAAATATGATACCCTATAACCTAAAGTATTTTTATGAAAGACCCGATAATGCTGATAGTGAAGTCTGAATTTTTCTCCCACATCAAAAATGCTGCAAAATCATTGTTTCCAAAGATCTTTATTTGATAATTATAGTAATATAATTACTACAGTATTGAAAATTTTGCAGCAATGTTTTTGGGTAAAAATATAGTTCTATTTTCAATCAAACTTATGGGTTTTTAAAAGAAAGTTTGGCCTATTTTGTACAAGAATAAAGGGTTTTATATGTTTCACTGAGAAGACTGTAAAAATTATAAATATGTGCTAAAATGTAAAAAACATTTTCGTGCATTATTAAGAATGATAACATTTAAACAAAAGATTTAATGTTCTATCAGACTTCAAGTATATATATATAGATTTTGTATCTGAAGAAATCACAGCTTTTCATTACTCTTTCTGGAATTTTTGTTTGTATGATGTTTGATCATCACATACACAAAGTTTGGGTTAAAATGTAATATATTTCTTATAATAACTAATGATCAATCAATGAGCAGTTAATTGTTCTATAGAACTAATTATGTGTAAAGTCAGTGCTATAGTTTTTGTGTGCTAGAGTTTGCTAGTAAGGAAAATAATCTGATGAAATAGCAATTGAAAAATATACAGAGTTGCTTGGGTATTTGTTAATAGAAGATTCAAGAGATTTAATTACTAAGGCTTCTGTAATTCTCCTTTTATTAATGTCCGGTTCATGTTTTAATATGGCGATGTTTTAACAAAGAATTACAGTAGTTTTACTGGTGCATTCAAGCACTTGAGAGACATGTTTATGATGTTCTTTTATCCATGTGTCTAATTTGCATCCTGTTTTAGCTGTTTAAAAGGCCAAGTAGTTGTTTCATTGTATTTTGTGCAATGAAACAGAGCACAGGTTAGACAATGGATAAAAGAACATAAAGACCTTCCTCTCAACTGCATGAACACAAGTAAAAATAACCATGACTTTAACAAATAAAATGTCACCATATTAAAACATGAACCAGATATTACTAAAAGAATTGGAGAAGCCTAATTAAATATAACAAACCTATATTAACAAACACCCAAATACTTCTCTGTATATTTTTAATTACCATTTTTTCTCAGATTATTTCCAACCAAACTCCTGACACAAATACATGTAAAACTAAAATATTACCCTTATTTGTCATTAATCATTCTATAAAACAACTAAATGATCATTAAAAATCATTATTTAATATACAAAAAACATTTTATGTTACAATTCAGTTTAAACTGTGTACACAACAGTGATAACACTAGTGACTGAAACATCATCCAAATAAATAAAACCTTCAGAAAAATATAACAAAAATGTGATTTCTTCAGACAGCTATCAAAAGTAGTAAACTAAAAAATTAAAACAGATCTCGTATGCTCCTCAAGCAAAAATCAACACCTTTAAATATCACATAGATAACATGTTGTATGTCCTACCATAATACAAGATGATTTTGTAAATACAAGAATGGGTGAAGGGGTAAGCCCTTGAGAATATTGAGTTCACATGGTATTGGAAATTTTATTGATGTGTCCAGAACTTTCAATCTTCCCCAACCTTTTATGCCATGTTTTGGATATTGCAAACCTGAGTACTATAAAAAATACAAATGAGCCTTCTTATTAGACTTGATTATTTTCCCACATTCTCTAATTACCTAGAAATACAGTTTCAAAAGCTACCATCTAGAATTGGTATCCACTTAATGCAGCAGGATAATTAAAATTGTCAACAAACAATCATTTCATACTTAATATTTTTCTAGAAGTTTTGTAGGAACTTTTTTCAATAATTAAAAAACTAAAACAGTTGTTTTTGTATATACAAAGACTTAACATTGGTAAGTGACACTCAAGTTTCATACATAACACCAACAGAATATGAATGGGGTAAATACTTTGTGATGAAGCTCTTTACATTATGCAGGATAGAAACATACTTACACATGTTCAGTGACTGGCCAGGAAATGGAAGAATCATGATGTCTTAACTCTACTTCGATCTAAGGGGATTTCTATTTACTTATGTCAAATATCTGTAGCTTCAAAATATGTAATTTTTTTATAGTAGGATAAAAAAATCCCATTTGCTTCACAAAAATTTTGGTTTATTGTATAATATCTATGTGTACTTCTCCATTAAAAATGATCTTATATGTACCTACCTTGTTTGGGACATTTGCTCTTAAGTACACTGAGAGAGCAAGTGTTGGATCAACTTGTTTTACTAAGTCTCCCAGTTCTTCACTACATTCCAGCTAAATTATGACAAAAACATTGATAAATTAACTTATTTTCCAAGAAATAAACAATTGCAACTTAATTAAAATTCCACTGGAAGTATTACTGGAAAGTATGTTCTATTTTATTAATACAGATAGGTATGATTTTGTGTACACAATAAATTAGTTAAAATAAAGCTGTTTCTCATTGAATTACAGTGGTATGGCTTCTCACTAAAATGTATTTTCTTTACAGATACAATTTATATATACTGTTGAATACATTTTCATAAGATAGTCCATAGAGGTTTTGAAATATCTTTGTTTTATAACCACAGCTGCAAAGTTTTTTAAGAACATAACTTCAGAAAGAAATTCAAAAGCAACAGTTTGAACTGAAAAATTCCACAGTAATTTTAGGAAATAAACACAGGAAAGTTTATAATAAAACCGAGATTTTACTAACAAAACCTTTCAATGAAACAGTAAAAATGTTAATCTACAAGCTATGCACCTTGTCATCTTTTAGCCACTTCTCTAGAAGCTGCTTTCTTCCTTGTTGTAAAACAGGACGACACAACTCCAAGGATTCAAATTTATTAAGCTGACCTTGGTCAAGCAGGATTCCAAAATACTGAAGGAGGGGAGATGTCTGACCTGGCTGGGTAGGAACTTGCTGGAAACGTTGAATTGTTTGAGGTGTACGCAGAATGCCCTAGTGGTATATATATATATATAACTACAGTTTCCTGTTTACATAGACAAGATATTTTCTATACAAGTTTTTTATGAAACTTTTTTAAAACGATTTATTAAACAGTGAAAAAAAAAAGTTCAATAAACAGTAACTTCATAATGTTATGAAGCTAAAACTACCTTTGGAGCATTAGCAGCAATCTTTGCAGCTTCGGAATACTGTCCATTTCCAAACAGTGTGTTGAATTTTCTAACAAATAAATCTTCAGCTCCAGCAAGGTTGTTCCTAACAGCCATGCATAAAGCAAGGTCTGAGTTTTGCAAGACATTAGTAATGTACGGAATAATGCTTTCTTCTTCCACACTCACAGACAAGACCTTTAATAAAATAAATCCTCATTCTAAGTATCACTGAACAACATGCATACTAATAAATATCTTAGCTAATATAAGGTAGTTAGTTTATGTTTCTAAAAGTTACTGTCTTATTCATATTCATAATTTATCCATAAAACTCTAGCTATTTGAGCAACTATACATTATTACTCTAATTCAGTTAATGATTGTTGCAAGTAGTATTTGCCATTCCTTTTGCTTAGTGAAACACAACATTTGTCAATCATTAAAGACATATGTAAGCAAGTTACTGCAAAAATAAAGCATTAATTCAGGATTTCAATGATACAAGTAACATATCAATCAATTCAACTGCCATTTTAAAAACATTTTTCTATTATAATATTTACATTTTATTCGTTAAGTGTTTACATTTTTCTTGCTCTAGATGTTCGTTCAAAATTTCTGAAAGCTCTTAGCAAAACTAAAAAAAAGAATATGATGTTTTTCTGTGGCGGTTTATAAATCATAGCAAGCTCACTCAAATAGTTTTACTTTACTACTGGTAGTTATTACAAGTTCCTGATATTTTGACAGTGCACAGTATTATTGGATAAGTTTAATGTTTCTCACTATATATATGCTAATTTACTAAGTACCAAAATGGTAAAATTAAATGAATAATTCACAACTCCAGATAGTTACTAACTTGATATCAAAAATAAACAAGAAATTCTACATCTGTTTAGTGAAATAATTATCAGGAAATGTAGTAACAATAATAAAAATAATCATAACTCATTAAAATTGCTCTCTTCTAATAACTTGTTTGATTTTTCAATAATTACTATTTTTGTAAACAACCTAACTGGGTTATTTCTAACCAGCCACCAATGTAAGGATTTAAGGACAGATGAACAAAATATAAAATAAATACAAGGAGTTTACTCATAACATGGTACCAAAAAAACACAACCAAAAACATTCTGATAGAATCAGAAAGAGATAAAATCTTACCTGCCCTTTTCTATTAACACCAATAATACCAGATGATGGTTCATGAGGGGCTGTCACAAATATAGTGTCTGCAGTGATTCGGTTCATGTAGATGCAAATACCACTTTCAATATCATAGAGATGAATGTAACCAAACTTAGTGATGAGATAGATCACACCATGTTTGGGACTGACCTAAAGTAATAAAATAAAATTATTTAATATTTCTTTTTTTTCAATATATATATATATATATATATATATATATATGTACACCATAAATACATACAAATTTAATTATAAATTATGTGCAAGTTATTTCTCCAATATACACAAAACCTAGGATTAAAAAGAAAGTGTAAGCCTATATTCATCAGTGAACAAAATTAACCTATCAAGTTGCTAGTCCAGCAAACCAGTAACTGGCAACTTTACTGGAACATGTCTAAGCTCACTGGTCCAAATTGATATGCACTGTGCTGCAGAGCTAGACCAAGCTATTGATACGCATAGTAAACTAATATATAGATGTAAGCTTTTAGGTAATTAACTGGTTTACATTCTAAGCCCACTGTACAACTGATTCACATGATTGTGCTACAGTTCTGGTACAAACATGATCTTATAGACATATTATTACACACATTTTCTTTATTACCAAAAATTATTTATGAAAATAACAAACTTCATTTTCTCATTAACCCATTAACTGCTGCAGGAGCAGCTCAGTTGCCATTTTCTGACTCACGGATAAAACTGAGTTGCCATCAATTACAATAAAACGGTAATTATAGTCATTCGCCTTGAGTTATAGTTATATATGTGCGACTGACTGATATTTCCGTCATTCGCAGCTGAGCCATAGAACTTCAATGACGGAAATATCCATCATCCGCAGTTAATGGGTTAATCCTACGCGACAGAGTAATTTAATCATTTGATAAATGTTTCAATAAATACCATTCAAAACGTTTTTAGCATTAATGTTTTACTTTTGGTAGAGTACACTGTCCAAAGCAGCATTCTTACATTATCAGCAATTACATGTAAAATTGAATATTATAAAAAATTAAACTTATTTTATAGTTTAGACAAATAATTAAAATCAGTTAACATTTAAAAAAACCTGAAAACATTAAGTAGGTTACCCCTTGAATATTTAAAATTTAAGTGTTAAGTAAGAGATGTTGATACAAAGCTCATACAGTAATTAATATTTTTAACATGTAATTATATTCATTTTTGAAAAAAATGTTGTAATTTTTAGCTATAATAAAAAACTTTGTCTTGTAAGTCACTAAGACATCAATTATCCTATTAAACAACTTCAGTGTACTGTTTTTATTTGCTTGAAGTATAATCCTGATTCTTTAGTTAATGATTCCTGAATATTACATAAAACTAAATTAATATAAAATACAGCAAGGACAATTCTTTAATAGTAATTAACAATATTTCTTATGTTTTGCACAAGTAAATTATGTGTAGTTTATACACAGTACAGTACAGTTTGAAAAACTAATCATTACTTTTAAATTACGAAAAATGTTTGCAAAGGAATCTAATGGTATAACAGGTAACATTATCATTACTAAATAACTATGTAACTACTGCAACCATAAATTGTATTTCATTGTGAATAACATCAGAAATAGCCAATAAATTTAGTGCTAAGTTTCTTAAATGAAAATACTATACTATCATTAATGTTGATATATTTTGCATGATTCAAAATAGAAAAATAAAACTATCAATGCATTGATTTGACAATTTGTCCACTATGAACGAATTTGTACATCCATACTTCGTAACTCCTTATCATTAAGACTTTCAATTTGGCACAATAAGAAAAGGCAACTTTGCTTCAAGTGTACATGTAGCACTTCAAGATATTTCAATAACAACAAATAGTGCCAAATGGATATATTAAAATGTTTACATGTATACCACTTTGAGTGGCAAAATTGATTTCTGTATGGCAACATCAGGTTAAGATGCAATTGATGAAGTAAAATGTTCACAGTCCAGTAAATAGTAAAATTCTAATGCTTCACTGAAAGCATTGCATGTTGTTTTTTTATAACACAAGACAAGTATCTATAAAATGGGAAATTTGTCTACAAGTGAAACTCAAAAATACTTACTCAAAAAGGTACACATATAGAAATAAATTTATCTATTGCCATATTCCTGTTTTTTTATATGTTTGTTGAATCCTATGTAGTTCCACTTGCACAATTTTGCAATCTGCTTTGTTATTAAAGCAACATATTTAAATAAGCAAGTTCAGTCTTCAAGATGTTGTTTATCATCATGAAATGTAATAGATATAAAAAAATTATATATTTTAAAGATGGTCAGGACAGGAAAATAGCACTTTAGACTCCCAACTTCAAAAATTTATGTACCAGTAATCAGGTTTGTGGGATCAAAATGCCAACCCTAATTTCCTTTCACTTTCAAACTTACTTTACCATATGAATATTGTTAATCAACAGTATTGTTTTGAGTTTACTTACTGACAAGCATTTTTTGTATTGCAAGTTACAGCTTTTTAAGTAATGAAGAATATGTTTTAAAACATGTACAACATTTCAATCACTGGTGCAATCATTCTAAGTAGACAGTGATCAAAATGTTGTACATGTTCTAAAAAATATTCTTCTTCACTGTAAAAGCTGTAACTTGGAACAAAAAATTTTTAATCAATATTATTCAAATTATCAAATCTGCTTATGATATTTACAAATATTATTCTAACATGTAAAAATTAAGATATAGAGAATTTAGGTGACAGCATAACAAAAACTCAATTATAACCAAATACTGTCATTTCCAGAGGCACACAAAAACATTTTTCAACGACAGGTACATCTACTAATAAACCTACACTAAGACATACAAGTATTGCCCAGTTAAATGAAATTTATTGCCAAAAAAAAGTAACTTCATATTTTTTCCCAATTCAGAATTTTATAAATAATGTTGCTCTCAAACAAGTTTTATTTTTTCCTTCTCCATGATGAGTTTAATGGAATTTAAGCAGATGACATTATAATCATGACAGGGGAACTAGATACTTGTCTTCACAAGTTGACCTTGATGCTAAGTGTTTATAAAACTGTACATAAGAGAGAAGTTCTGCTCAGCTTTTAGTTACTCAAAATAAAAGAAACAAAACAAGAATGTCATATAAAAAATGTTTCATTTCATATTTTCTCCTTAAAAGATAAACACTTCTTTGACAATTTTACATAATGGTTTTACTCCAAATATAAACTCAAGACTTTGTTCCCAACATTTCATGAACAATAACTTATCAGCCCTTCACAAATGGAAGATGGTTGAAATTAAGGTTTAGCCATTAGAGCAAAAGTTAAACCCTGAAAAAGCAACTTTCAATAATCGTTTTATCTATATTGTTCATTTCAAAACATGGAAAAATTATTCTTTAACTTAGTAAAGCATGTTAAAAACACACTATTTAAATAATGTCATGTATATGCTTGAAATGTCACTTAATAAAACCATGCTAAGTAAGTTATTTTATTCATACAGTTTTTTTTTAGTTTTAGTCACCTTTGCATACATTTTTTTAAAAGTTAAACCTCTATGTCTTGCTAGCCTTATATCAAATTGTACGCAAATTGGCAAAAAAAATGTTTTTATTTACTGGATAGGAACGTGCTAACTTATTATATTTTATTTGTGAGTAAGGCCCCCACTTAACATTTTTTTAGGGAGCCAGCTGGGTCCCCAAAACATACATTTTTAAGAGGTCCACAAGTAGTTTTAAGGGACAATCCTGTAGCTCATTGTAAAATGTATTCTATAGTGGAGGTTATCAGAAAAATCAAATAATTAAATAGCAGATGTTAGGTAAATTGAAAAGAAACTAAATATATCAACATATTAAAATTTATTTTGCTCTGAACTTGTATTTCATGAAAAAAACAACAAAAAACAACACAACAAATCAAACCATTTCATTTTTTTCAGACAAGATAATGATTTTTAGTTCATATCTTTAATTTCTCTCTAAAGCATGGTATAACAATAACATTTTGTCCCCCCTTTAAAGTAATGTCCTTTAATAATCAAAATAAATAATGAAAACAAATCTATGCATCACTGCCAGTGTAATCTATTCTTTTGTTCCCCTTTAAAGCAGTGTTATTTCCTAATCAAAATATTTTCATCACTGTCAGTGTAATATGTTTATGTTCCCATATAATCCATTACCATCTAGCTGACACATATTTGTCAACAAAATGTCAAACACTTTTTATGGGGAGATGGAAAAATCCTACAACTTACATTACCACTAAATTTATAGCAATCAGTTGTTTCATATCCTGAAACAGCAGTTAATTAGTCATTCATGAATTTGAATTTGTAATAAGCAAAATCCTCAAAGTAGCAACATATGGAAAACATACAAATAACTATATTGGATTAGATGGTGATGAGTTAAACTTAAATTAGCATCCTTTCCTTATCAAAATAAATAATGAAAGGAAATTTGTATGCAGTCAGTCA